CACCTACAAGGCATAATATTCTCGATAATGTGTTATGGATGAGTATATTTGAAGTGGGAATGTTTAAAGAGTGAAATTGGATTTTTGTGGCGCATTTTTTTGTGTCTATAAGGAACGTGAGGCAATTGATCTTCTGGAATGTCCTAGGAAATAGGACTAAAGGCCGACGTAAAATAACTTGGTGTACAACTGTTGAACGGGAGGCAAACAACAGAACAAGAAGCTGCAAGAAATAGCAGCTTTTGCCCAGAATCGAGTGCAATTCAAATGCTTTGTGGACGCCCTACGCTTCAATGTGAAGCAATAGGAACCAATCATCATCATCATAAGGAACTTGATGAAGGATTCTTCATTATCGACGTTTAAATTTTAGTAAAAAGGTAGCTAGTCTGACGTGGGACCCGTAAGATGCTGGCTTTGAGTCAATATAATCAAATGCTAGTGTTATTCTTCTTTGTACCATTCAAATCTAGTTGTATAGCCTAGGATACACCCTAAAAACCCAGAATAACGCAAAAGACATCATTCAAATCCTGACAAAAGCTTGTCATAAATCCCTAATAAACAAGAATCTCGAAACATCATAATAACTTCAGACGTCCAGCCAAAGTATAATCCAAACCCAAAAAACAAAAATTATCATCCCCTAGATAAACCATACACACCATAAAAAGAGAAAAACAGATTTAATATTATGATAAATGTCTTTAAATAGAATTTGAGTGCGCAAAAATGGAAAGGAAAATAAAACACACAAACGAGGCATGAAAGAAAACTTTTTTTTTGGATTCTCCTTCTCATATTTTTTATACATTTTCATTCTCAGTTGCCGTGCGATACGCCACAAAGCAATGAGTTCTCGTGCTTGAATCAGGTTTTATTAGGATTTTGGGAGATATAAATAATCATTTTCATTATAATCCACCATAAACATAAATTCTCTTAAAAACAATATTTTGGATGCATAAATTTCATTCTATTGAGCTTGAGGAAAAAGTTTTTCGAATGCTTGCTGACTTTTTTTTTTGTGTCTAACCTTTTCTGTTCTGTTTCTGCCCGACATAAAAAAGGGGGTTTTTCTTTAAAGTACAACGAGTTGCTTTAAAAAAATAATTTTTTTTTCAGTATGTGTGTTGAGAAAGTTTTAATAGAATTAGCAAAGAAGTTTACAGACTTTTGTGTCTACGTCATGGTTTATGTTTGTGAAGAAAACGCTTGGAAAGTAATTCATCTGAAAAATATAGTAATTTATATTAAGAGGTAAGTTTTATGGTCTAATCGAAGGATAATTCATGGGAAATAATTTAAAGACAGTATTTAGAGATTTATGGAACTTAATCATAGACAAAATGAGGTCGCTTGGATATTACATAACCTGAAAATGGCAATTTTAGGCTCCTTTACCATTCAAATCAGCCTTGTTCGTCTGAGACAATGACTGGAGTAAAGGACGATCCCCATCTTAGCTAGGCTCTTCCTAAAAACTCGCAAGTAATTCATAACTTTGGAAAATTCAAGGTTTAAAATCCTCAAATCCATTGATAGCACCTCCCTCTCCTTGCTTATTAAAATTCTTAAGTAATTACACTTGAAACAATTTTTCATCATAAAAAAAACAGCCACAAATGGTAACAAAAAATAGAAGTAAGCAACATTCTACATTGTTAGCTGCCATGATGCCTAGACACATTTGCAAAATCATACATCTTTATGAGTAGTAAGGTAAGCAGAAGTTGTGAAAAGGCATAGGCATAATGTACATATGCAAAAAGTAACCATTTTCCTTGCTTTATCTTCCCATTCCTTGTTGTACTTCACCTCCCCTTATACTCCATCCTCAATTTGTATGAGCAGCAGCAGCAGCAAAAAAATCAATAAGTAATGTTTCCGCTTTTTCATTTTTTTTTTCATTCACAGGAAGGAAAAACCTGTATGTTCGTGAATGGTAGAATTTTTTCGAGCATTTTATGAAGGTTGGATGAATTTTTTCAGGCTATTTTGGCTAGGAGTCTAGAGTCTTTAAGAATAGTGCTCTAGGTGCTTGGATTTAATGTAAATGAACAACAGCTTTGCTTACAAGAACTGATGAAATGATCAAAAAATTATCAAAATTGATCAAAATGAAATTAATCAGTTCCACAACCTTGTTCACTTTTTTAATAGCTTAATAAGAGGCACCAGTGCCTATAGTTGCATAAGTCTACGATTCCTAGAAGCAAAATCTGGAACTATATTCAATATATTATTCAAATTGGCTCAAGTGCTAGATTTTATTTTTGTCGGTCCGAGATAACTAATTCGAGCTACACAACGAGGTCGCTAACTCACTATCCTTGGACATGTCACTAGTAAAATCTCATATTAATTTAAAAATGATTTGCCAGCCCGATGACAGTTGCTTAAACCCGATAAATAAGTTTTGCTGCAAAGTTCAGCTCCCGAATCTTAAGAAAATCCACAAAATATCCATTATTCCTTAAAACTGCGCCCACTACCTAATCATCATCATTAAACATCTCAAAATATTTGTTCATATGTGCTACAACACCAACAATATCAACAACAGAAAGCATATAGCACTCTTCCGTTTTGAAAGAATATTTTTTACGTGTTTGAGAGCACTTTTTGCTGCTGCTGATATTCCTGCACATACACTCACATGTTAATATTTTTGTTAAACACTTTCAAAAACGAGTAAGTGAAATGGAAAGATGAATATATATTGTAACATCATACCGAAACTTTTCTTTTTCTATATTACACTGTGTAAATGAAAAAAAAAGTAATGCATTGAATGAATATAAAAAATACAGGAACATCAATGAAAGGAAGTCTGATAACAAAAAAGCTGAATTGAGAACATTTTTTTTTTATCGAAGTAATGTTCTTCCTCCTCTCATGACTGTAATATTTTTTGTATGATGGCTGGTGAGACGAAAAAATATGAAAATGGGGAGATTTTTGGTATAAAGTCTAATGTGAAGCATGCACACAAAGAGTGACGGGAGTTTGATAAAGTGGATTCGATCGCTTTTTCATTTTCTCGTCGCTTCCGATGTGTGTGTGTGTGTGTTTTAAAGTTGGATGACAAAAGTTTTAAGGGGGATGTGAGGATGCTTTAGTTAAAGGTGACTTTTTAGAGCTGATTTTTGGTGAAATTTTATCGATTTTGAGCTTTTTTTTTTAAACTTTACGCTTAGAACGATCCTAACCGAGAATATGGCTCGTAGAGAGGCATGAGCATAGGGCTCGCGTTGAACTGGTTATCGATAAGTACCTCGGTGGCCGAATGGCAAGGATCTATGATCGAGTGGTCAGAGATTGCTTCTTTTGAGGTCGTGGGTTCGATTCCAATCGAACCCGACTTGTTTTACATTAGTATGGACAATATGACAGTTATAGGCAAATACCTCGGCAAGTATTACTATCTGGTTCAATATCATTGTGTGTCTCATACCATAAAAATACAGGAACAACTCGCACCCCCTTAAATAATACCATTGTTCCAATTTCTCCATTCCTCATTTAAATTCTCGGAAATTATTCACTATAATTTATCGACCATTTCCCTTACTTCACATGCAGAATATCAAAAAAAAAAAAGAAGTATTAATGACATGTGATAAACTTCTAGCTCATTTCGTTTATAATTCTAATGTCCACCTATTAATTATTAAACAACACATTTGAAAATAAAGAAAATATCCCGAAACACACAAAAAAAAACTTTTCACTGAAATTTGTGTCAAATTGCTCCCCCGATAGTAGCCAATTACATGCACCATACAATCAACCTCATCTACAACATTCAGTAAAGAAATGAGAATTATAATTTATTGACGTACGGGAAAATAAAAGTTTTCATTCTACAGAAAATATTCATACATAAATACACACAATACACATTGGCGTGATTTACAGCAATAAAAATATAAATATTGTAACATAGAAAATGCTTTTTTTCTCTTCTTTCTCATATTTTTGTCAAAAAAAAATATAATATTCGTGAGGAATGAATTATGTTCCTTTGCTGATTATTGACTGATGATTATGATTATTATTCTTCCATTTTTGTTCTGTATTTTATTGCTTTTTGGGGAATTGTTTTATATTATAGTGCAGTAAATTGTCAGGAATTTTTATGAAGACTTTATTTTGATTCTATTTATGTTAAAGCTTGACAAACAACAGCCAAAAAAAAAGGAGGGAAGTAGTAAAAATATTAAAAGAGCACTTTTGGTTTCAAGTCTTGAATAATGGGGTCTTTTTGGATGACTAAATTTATGGGGATTAAGTTTTAGTGATTTATTGGGTAATTTTGAAATCTATTGAAGATTTAATTAGGATTTATGTTTTAATTTGAGTGGGAGATTTTGTAATGAATGGTGAGCAAGGGGGTTGTTGGGGAGAATCTGGAAGATATGAGTCATCCTAGCTATTAAATAATTTTATTTAGAATAGAATATAGAAAAACTAGATTTTTAATTGCATAGGCACTTTAAAACTTAGCTCAATATTTGGTCTATAGATATACCAAAAAAATTACAGTAAAGTGATATAAACCTGTATTTCCTTAATCCAACACGAATTTTAATCCACTTTCAGTCATTAAAAATTATAGCTATAAAGATTCAATTTTCTTATCCTTTTACAGAATACACAATAATCTTAAAACGAGGTAGAAAAATCCATTTCCATGTTTATCGTTCATATTTATTGTATAAATGTTTATAATTTTCCTATCTGCATCACGAAACTCCGTTTACTCACATTCATATTTTTACAATTTCGTACCTCTGAATATGTATATAAATGTCTATTCTATCTACTACAAATACGTCATAATTCATTGCATATACATATATCCTATGCAATAAATTTTATTGATCCTCGAGTAGGAAAAAAAAAATTGTACAGCATAGAACCGTAAAGAGTAAAGTAAAAAAAAATAATAAATTTATATTTAAAGCTTTTTTACAGCTCAAAATTGTGTACTGTACCTTGCATGTTGTGGCCCCACATTGCCGAAATCGTGTGCCGAACTAGCTGATATTTGTGAGTCCATAATTGCACCTGACTCCATTCCTAAAGCACTCTTACATTTAGCTGAAATTAAATAAGAAGAGGAGGAATTAATAAAATGCTAATCAGTTGGAAATAAACATAAAATGTATAATGGCATTAAATTAATTCTCACTTCTGTGCCACTTTTGTACTTCAATATTACTTCTTTTTCATGTTGAACAAGAAAAGAGATTAGAGAGGTTTTTGAGGGTGAATGAAGGGGTTGAAGCGCTGTATTTTTTGGTGCCGAATTTCGCAGAAGCATTTAAAATTGCGGGGATCTAAAGATTTGTGATTTGTTAAAGGCAAGTTTGTAACCTAAGAGGGGACTCAAGAACTACAGGTCATAAAAACAATTTTAATGGGATTTGAGCCACCATTTTGAAAATAGGATTCGAACTGGTGAGAAACTGTCTTAATCAGGGTCTTAATAAGATTCATTCTCAATCAAGAACTTAGGGATCGTTCACTTATGACGTCTGAAATTAACGGTCATTTTTCAAAAGAGAACAATGGATTTCCAGGAATTTATGACTATGATTATTTTTTATGACTACAATAAACACAAGTATGAGGATTATTAAGTACAATATTTTATTCCAAAACAGAAGTAAGTACGTGTAGTTCTATTGAGGGTGGAACGACCCACTAGCTCATTATTATTTTTGAGGATTTTACCTTTCACGGAAAAAAGGCAAAATCTTAATGCCTTTCTCTCGGCTTACATTTTTTTGAAAATAAAAGAACAGAAGTATCTAATTAGCACATGAAAGGAATAAAAATGTGTAATACGAAAAATAGACGGAAATAGGGTGGAAGGTATTAAGACGCATTAAATCGTAACATAATTGTGAATAGTGATGAACATTTAAACTGCTAATTATTTTTTTGCTTTTGGAATTATAGGAAAAATGTGTGGGAGGATAAAGATTGGGAATTTAAAATCTGACAGGGATTTTCTTGAGATGATTTAGGGTAATTATGGAACAGGTCGTTTGATAATGACGTCTAGCACATCATAGATACCAAGCTGGTGACTTTGTTTCTCAGGTAAGCTTCAAATCAGAGAGTTTGGAATTATAATAGCGAATAATCTTGCAAAGGGTCACTGATCTTCAGTTAAGGGTCAATTTGTATTCAAATTAAGGCTTTATTGACACCTAGCCAGCCATACGCACTTGCTATCCACACTAGTGTCATGTAATACTTCTCAAAACAATGTCAATAGACATAGAATGTTAAAAGGGTGTCTAAAAGTTTAATTCATCGATAGATGTCATTTGTAAACGATCCTTTTAACTGCATACATTCTACATGTCTGCATATGTCACAGTCATCCTTGACAACCAATTAAGGATTGAATTTTATCGAATCCACAACGACCATGTAACAGAATATCCCAGAATAATTATCAGATTCCAACATAAAAACATAAATTAATCCAATAAAAATTCCTCATTAATGGACTAATAGTTCCATAGACTATCAAGTAAAATTACTTGTTTGCAAATAAACTAAAAAAAATTCCATTTGGATCAAATTTCACTCATTAATTTATTAACACTGATTTATATGAAATATCTTATTACACATGATCCCCCCATTTAATTACACATTATTATTATTATTTATCTCTGCTCACTCAATTCCACCTTTCTTTTATTCCTGCTTAAATTCTTTGCCATTCACTCTTAAATAAATGAAAAAAATATATATATTAATAACATAAAGACATACGTAGGTATTCATTCACATATCATGTGTACTTAACCAGAACAAAGCAAAAGTTTATGGCAAATAATTTTTTCTTCTTCTCCATTAATAGGATTAAGTTATTCATGCAAAAATAAAAGAATTCATCATCATCAGTGGCGGGAGTAGCACGAGAGAGGGAAGGGATTTTCATAAATAATACACAGAATTGCATAAAAGTTTTTTTTCATAAATCTATAATGCTTTAAAAGAAAGTAATTTGATACATTTTTACTGGTTTTATAGTCAGCATACGTCACCCACTCCACTCGTGAAAACTGTTTGAAAAATCACTTTAATATTTTGCTGTGCGAATATTGAGTTGGGAAATTATTTGTTGTTTGGAATGTGGCGCATTTTAAGGGATTTTTAAGGTTGGAATTTAAGAAGTATACAGTTTTTGCGGAAATTTCGATGATCAGTACCTTGAATGTACCCCAGGCTCGTAGCCAAGAGGGTCTTGTTCCCCTCTTAAGCGTTTTAGGCCGTGCTCTCGCTGCGGTTCAAAACGTTTAAGGGGGGGGGGGGGGGCTACGAGCCTGATGTACCCTACGATTAATCTCAAGACAGACTTCTCTTCTTGGACCTCAAAGCTCTCTTCTTTGTAGAATTTCTTCAATATTCCAATCCATTCCAATCCAAGAATCTTAAAAATCTTAGAATCTTGAGTCAGTCAAACCACAATCCCACAAAAAACTCATTTCAATCCTCAACTTATGCTAAAAAGAAGATATTCGCATATGAAAATGATTTTATGAGTGTTTTAACTCATTATTTTATGAGTCGTAAGTATTTGTTAGGTAGCTTAAATCTACCAAACTTGAATAGGGAGAAATGAAACGAAATACTATAATATGTAATATGTTCTGCACGTTACATTCATATAGAGAATTGCTGTATATGCGAGTAAGAGAGAGCGAAGGAAACCCATAAAATGTATGTAATCCTCTTATAAGAGTTAAAGAGAGTAGCACACAGAAAAAAATGGCTGTTAAGTAGATGGAATATTATTAAGGAAGAAATATTCATGCAATATAATGCCATTTGCTACTGTGTGTAATATTCAGTAGTTTATATACCTATATGGTTATGGCTGAGGTTGTGGCTCATTCAGCTCAGATTTTTTTTTTTCCTTTCCTTCTTTCTATTTTTATTTTTATTGACCATAAAGACCGAAAAGAATGAAAAAAGGGAAAAAATAATAATAATAAGCCATATTGTTGGACTTTCTTTTCAATGCCTCATAAGAAGCTTCCATAGTCATACATTATGGGTAATGTTTATGCGAATACTTAATACCTTTCTTCTTTTTTGCTATTTGCAACTCTTTTCATTCATGCAATGGAATTTAATGCAAATGTTGGGGATTAGAGATATTTGCTTGGCATGGGCTATCTCAGGTGGAATTAAAGAAGTTTGTAGGACTGAATTTTGATACAAATTGGACGCAAATTACTCACAAATTAAAGATTTATATTTTTATTGTTTATCAGGCATAAAAAATTGTCAATAAGCTCTCTTGGTACCACAAATAGTGCTATTAATTCCTATTTGGACTTTAGTATTATGTCGCTAGAGATTTACTAGAGACGTTCAGGATAGTCAAAAGACGCACCTAGCCCAGGTATTCCAAACATTATAGCTAAAAAGGTAATCATAATAATTTTTTATATCCACTCGAAACTCATCACTTTGCAAATTTACCCTCATTTCTATGAAATTTTCCTCAATTTCCTTAAACGTTCTTAGAATTTCTTGAATAATCTTCCATAATAAATGCTTCCATGTGGCGCTTAATAGCTACATATCTCAATCGGTAGCACATCATGCCATCATTAAACTACTCAGTAAATTATCTCATTAATGACTTAATATTCCGTCTATTAAATTACAAATGTTCAACATCATTTCCATCATTATTCATTCGTTCTTCTAGGAACTTTCGTTATAATTCTATTAATCCTCATCATTTCAACCTGCCGTTTCCACCTAGATTTAATATTTATTCCCTATCATCCAGAAAAAAATGAATTTGAATTTTTTACGAATGAAATTCATGACGTACATCGGAAAAGTACACATGTTAAAGTACTCACACAGCCAACCGCCACTTAAGTTATTCGCATATTGTTGAAATAAATGGAAATATTTTTTTTATTTTTGTACATAAAACGGATTTATGAATAATTCATCTTTTCAGTAAATTTCCTCATTAGCATTTTCAGTAATCAAGGCAAAAAAATAAGCAAGAGAATGAAAGTTGGAAAAGTTTTGTGGATCAAATTCAGGAATTGGTAAGCAGTTTTGTTGATTTGAGGGGAATCTGAGTTCTTCTAGCAATTGAATTTGTCTCAAAGTTGAGTATTTGACTCTTTTTGGAGATTAGATCCCGATTGAGATTCGAACATAAGTTTCAAATGTGAGAAGTGTTTAAAAATATTGTCAATCATTGGGAGGAATCGAACACACTTTCAAATAGTTATAATTCAAATTCTTATGACTATCCACTCGACCAAGAAGGGGCTTTCCTTTCACTGACAGATTTGCTTACATTAACCTCTCGCTATTCTAGATTAGACAATGTCTGACCTAATATTTAAATAAAATCATTAAAATTCAAAGCAAAAATACTTCTACGGAAGTCAACCTTCCACTAAACAGTCATAATTGCCCCCCAAACTGCCAACCAACACCCATTCATCAATCCACACAATGAAAACTTGTGCTAACTTTAAACAAGAAATTCCTTCATTTAAAAATGAGCATTTTAATAGGTCGACGTATTTGCTGGCATTCTGTCAGTAGTTGTTGCTGTTTGTGTTATTTGTTATCGTTTAATGACAGGGTTGAATGTACAATTCCCATTTCTACAGAATGGATTAAGTGAAAATGAATTTTATGATTTTTTTATTCAAAACTATTTCAGCCAAAATCAACGCCTTTCAACTTCTTTCTCACATTTTTTTATGCATTAAACTTCCTGAATTTTGTTTGTTTTCTCTTTTGGGGGTTTTTTGTTTCTATTTGATGAAAATTGGATTTGAAGTTAAAATTTGGGTTTTATTTTTGGTTTGCGATTGTTTGAAGGTTTTGCTGTGGTCGTAAATATTATTGTGGCTTCAAAAATTTTGCATTTAATCCTTACTTAATGCAACATTGAAGGCTGTAATTTTTCCACTTCCATAAAAAACGCGACAAAGTCGCATTTAATTTTCTCCCATTTAATTCCGCATAATTTCCTGTCTCACTTTCTCACCAAAGCCCGCGACTGCATTTCTGGTGCCTGTGAT